AAAAAATTAGCCAGGCGTGGTAGTGCACGTCTGTAGTTCCAGCTACTTGGAAGGCTGAGGCGGAAGGATCGCCGGAGTCCAGCAGGTCGAGGCTGTGGTGGCCGAGAGCCGCCACTGCACTCCAGTCTGGGCGACAGAGTGAGACTCCAACTCAAAAAAAACAAAAACCAGAAACCAAACAAACAGAAAACCCCAAAGTGCTGGGATTACAGGCTGAGCCACCAAGCCCAGCCAACCATAAATTAATTTTAAGTTGTCCTCTAACTAAGGGATTCTGGTAATGTGCAGAAAAAGGTGCATATTCCATTCTAATTCACTTTTTCAAGCAGGCATGCCTGGAACTAGACAGTGCAGAAAACTATTTTAAAGCCCGTACTTAAACCTTACATCCTACAACTTTATCAAATATGCTGAAGAGACATGAGGCTTATGCCTGGTACTGGAAAAAAATCACTTCTTTGAGAAGTGATGAGCCCCTATTTTTAGCATTATTACTAGATAACATCATGTTTATTTAAAGTTTGCTGGAAGGTTTTTGGAAAAGGAAGACCGGTCACCTTACTCCTCTCGGCTAGCTTCTGCTTAGATGCTGGGTGCTGTTTGTGTGGTGTGGTAAGGCATGGGAACTGATCATTTCTACCTCACTGCCCACACCTTATGACTTCTTCAAAAGTCCTGTGCCAGCTTTTCTTTGGCATCTCCTGACACCACCACCTCTTAAACTGCAATTCAATGATCTATTGAGAGTCCTAGTAAATCTGCCTGCTCACAATTGGAAATGGGTGGGAACAGGCCATTTAACTATACTAAATTCTCTTAAATTTTTAAGATTCCTTGAAAATAAAGATGACCCACTCATTCGAACGGTCTGTTCAGTCCAAAGTTAATGCATTAGGCCATTTCTTTTTTTTTATTTTTGAGTTGGAGTCTCACTCTGTCGCCCAGACTGTAGTGCAGTGGCCACTCCTGGCCACCTCAGGCTCGACCTGCTGGGCTCTGGCGATCCTTCCTCCTCAGCCTTCCAAGTAGCTGGAACTATAGGTGCGCGCTACCACGCCTGGCTAATTTTTTGATTTATTGTAGAGATGAGGTCTCACCAAGTTGCCCAGGCGGGTCTCGAACCCACGGGCTCAGGCAATTCACTCACTTCAGCCTCCCAAGGCGCGGGATTACAGGCTGAGCCATCGAGCCTGGCTATTAGACCATTTCAAGTGGCACTGTTGGAAAGCCTCCAATTAAACCTAACCCATGCGAAAAATTATCCGTGGATAAAAAGCAGAAAGATATGACGAAGAGTTTTTAGTTTTTTTTTTTTTTGAATCGGAGTCTCACTCTGTCGCCCAGACTGGAGTGCAG